TTTTTATTTATAACTATTATTTTTATTACAAAAAGAGGTGATATTAAAATTGATTAACTACATTTTAAATATGACAGTTAATTTTAAATATAAATATAAATTACTTATGAAGCAAGAAAATAAATACTTAAAATAAACTATATTCGTAAGTAAAACGATTAGAAGTCTTTAATCGGTGGCCACAATATAATTGCTTTTATAAAAAATATTCAAACATTGATAACATAAATCTATATCAACTAGGAGTAAACAACTTGAGATGTCCATGGACAAGACTGAAATGATAAAATAATAAAAAAGACTAGGTACAAAAACGTTCATAATGCCAAATTTGTTAAAAAATATCGTTCGATATATATACACGTGGTATTAATAAGTAAAGTTTTTTTTGAATAAAATAAGTTAATTTTTTTTCTGAATAAAATGACCGTTAGTTTCATAAAAACTCTTGGTCTGAAAACAATGTTATAAATTATATTTATAATTTAAAGTTTTAGTTTGGTGTACTCTGATCAAAATGTACGATTGTTAATAAAATAAAAAATTGAAATAAAAAGGAAAAAAATATTGATATTTATTTTATTTTAATTTCATTAAAATAGTAATAATATCGATCGTAATCAAAATGACTGTTACATTACATAGTGAGATGGTTTATCATTTTTTTGTGTTTCTAATAATAATTTGAAAGGCAGCTAAAAAACTGCATAAAAAGGGTATGTATAAGGGTTAAAAATAAAAACAAAATATAAAATTAGCAAATTCTAAAATCTCAGTCTGTCCCAAGACCCCGACAACGCATCGGTTTATCCACCGCCTCAAATTAATTTAAAATATAGTGAACAAAATTCGTGTTTAGTACAGATCTAGTGCTTACAAATATAAGCGTGTACGTTCACAACGTGTATACAAAGTCTATGATTATATTTACATAACAATATTGATCTCAAACAAATATTGATTGGCTAAATTATTTGTTTGTATTCCAAACGAGGGGCACATATGTCACTGTGCTAAAGGTAGAGGTATATTATTACGAGATTGCAGTGTGGTTTTGGATACCTATGTCATCATGTGCAAGGGTCACCAATTGTGATTTTTCAGTTAAGGTATACAGGGTTACATCTAATAATTAGTTCAACAATTAGGTCATTGCAATTCTAATTCACTAAGACACCATTAATTGCTTGGTTCTGTGTACGCCTCGTGCGCCGAAAAACTTCTTGACGGACCAATACGATCCTGCACTTATTAGCAATACATATGCTATTATATTTACGGATATAAACTTAAGCAATATTAATAATTATAGCAAAAGGAAATTTGAATAGTTTTTAATTAAAAGAGTAAAACCTATAAATTACTACTGAAGTTTTTCGTCGCTTGCGGGTGCGTTCAGTGGGGCACAAAAAACACAAAGTGATTCAAAACCCAAATAACTCACTCAAAACCGTCGATAAATTTGTTTGTATGTTTTGATTTGATTTTTTTAGATAGAGTTTACATTGTGAAGTAGCCACCGATGGATGAAGCGATGATGACAGCCAGGATTGTAAGACAGATCATAATGATGATCTTCTTCTGTATATTATAAAAATAAAAATGTATATGAATATAATTATATTTAAATAAATAAAACCGACAAGTCTTTAAGCGTTGCATTTACCGAGAATTTGAAAATGCAACACTTAAAGAATAATAACGCAAAGAAAAAGGCAAAAAATTAAGACATGGTAATTAGACAGACCTGAAGAAAGAAATGTATTAATTATCAATTACCTTGTTTTGTGCACTGGCTGTGGTCGATGCTTGGTTTTATGCTGCTGCGTTTAGGTTTTTTTGTTTTTTTTATACAAATTTTATTTTTTTATTTGTCGATAGTATTAGTTTGACTAAATTTGAAATCGATGTTGTGAAATTACATGAAGAAACTACCAACATAGACAGCGACGATTAAACCAAGCACGGTCAAACAAATCAGGATCATTATCTTCTTCTGTTTATTTGGGAAAATGCAGAAATTGCTATTTAGTTCCAGCTTCACGGGTTAAATTTTAATACGCGTAACTGAAGACGTCTCGTTTTAAACTATATATTTTCAAAAGTTACAAGTCCTACGATCAATTCGGATTTTTTATAATTAATAACGAAAGTCATACAAAACATGAGCAAATAACACTAATCCACGCAGTGAGTTTTAATCAAAATTATGAACACGTTGGTATCGTGTGATTAAAATTTATATTAAAAATTCAATAAATTCAGTAAATGATAATTAGCGTTTATGGTAATAAATAATAACCACCAAATAATTGAATAAATTTCCTTAAAAAACATTCATCGTATCAGATGAAGATCTAAAGGAAGTCTTAAAAATTTTGTGGGAAAAGCATTAAAATTCCAATGTTAAAAATTTAACAACTATTTTAACATTTCAATTAATTGGAATATATAAAATTGTATTGTACAATGTCCGAAAGAAAATCTTATGTCCTTAACCGTTCGAAACGTAAACGAGACATCTTCGTTACGGAATTTGAAACTTTTATTTAACCATATGATGAGAAAAGATAGTACCTCAGATACGGAATCAATTTTAAGATAGTTTAAAAAAATTGTTTACAAATTCGAAAAATCATCTAATAGATACATATTCACAAATTAACATTGTAGGTGAAGTACTATCAATCCACCTCAGTGTCCAAATTATTTAAATACACTATTTTCACTTATTTTATATAACTAAATTTATTACATAATAAATCACTACTTTCAATTGTGAATATAATTCTAAAGTGCAATTTGAAACATTCAAAACTCTACTACAAATTCGTAAGCAGCTGATTCGTTCGATAAAATCGACACAAAGGATTGTGTGTCAAGGTAAAAACGGTGTTTTCATTCTAAAGTTCATTCGCACACATCAGATGCTATATCGAATTTCATAATATTACACACCGTAGTAAACATCAATTGTTTAATAAACATCATTGATTGTATCGATACATCGAACACTGTCCTCTACATAGAAAGAGAGCTAGCGATATCCTGATAAAAACATCAATACTGGCAAGTCAACCGTATAGAATTCATTCATTAATTTGATAACACTGAGAAAGTTGTTTAAATTCGTTTTCCGCGTCAATATAAATTGTTGAAGTCAAATTCTTTATACACAGGATATGTAGAGTGAAAATTTAGAGCTTCTTTACAACCTCAGAATGAATGCGTAATTTTATTATAGAGCAAAAAAAAGGAATGAAATTAGTTCAATACCAGAAGAAAATATTTTGAAGCCACGACGTGCTAACTGTTTCAAAAATATTAAGTCTCAATTGTTAAGCCTCACAAATTGATTCAAAACATTTTTATAGTAATTTATTAAGTATAAATTTTAAATAATCTCAAAATCTATAAGTAAGAATCAAATTGTGCTTTTGTTAAGGGTTCCTACGCACAGATAAAACATCACCTACGTTCAATATGGACCTGTAATCGTTATACATAATCTATAGAAAATCCTTGAAAATGAGTTTTTTAATAAAATTTGGTTATTATAGAAAGTTGCCAATATTCAATAGTTTTTTAAATGTATCACTAGCATCTCGTCTATTTTTGCTTCAGTTCTCTCTACTTCACAAACTATAAAATAAATTGCTAAAAAATGCTCTAAAATGCTCTAATTGCTGTGACTTTGTCAAAATAAAGCTTCAAACAAAATAAAAAGAAAACAATAATTTATATTTTATAAATGCTTTTCATTTGCTATTAATATACATATAACAATTCTACTATAAATTAAATGTCTTAAATCATTATACAAAATCAAATAATATACGTAAATTTTCTACATAATCCACTAAAACCTAAAATTTTCATACCCGAATAACAATTTAGTAATAACATTTTATGGTATGATTTATAAAACATATATTGCTGAAACAAATTTTTGAAATTTAATCTTCTTGATTATTATAATTGAAGTGAAGTATATTTGACAAATGTTTATAAATCTATTTTATCATTTATAGGTGAAGTAAACTTAGTAAGGGATACTGACATTATATACAATTGATATATTAAATTTGATTTTTTACTATTATACTAACAACAATTACTAAAAAGAAAGCTAAAAGTATTCACCATATTAATTTAAAACGCTGTCTGATTCATAAAGTCCTCCTACGATATTTGGCAGTATCCCGAGTGTTCTCAATAACTTATAATTATGTACATTGCGCGTTATAATGGCAGTATTATTATATATTTATAAACATAAATATGTTTTGGTTACATCTCAACATGTTCTTAAAAGTATCCGTCCTTATGCAATATCGAACGGGGGTTCAGGATACACCAATGTAGAATATTGAATTGCATATCACAGTTTTAAACATTACTAATTTCTACTAATAACATGCGAATGAATGCTTAATACACGTTTTGCCATAGATACTCCATATAAAATGACAATTATTAATCTAATTGCGTTACGTAATACCGTCTATTTGTGAACGTATCGAAGATCATGCTCGATAGATAATAAATTATATATTTCAATACAAAATTATAATACTATTTTAATCAAATCTTTAAACAATAAACCAAAATAATAAATAATCATTAAAAATAATTCACACAGATGGTATATTATAACTCAATACCATTGTGTTAGGAGCAGGTAAACTACTTTACATTCAAATGAAAAAAAAAATCGTAATTAAATGTAGATGTGATGTCGGTCTGTGCATCCACTAATGTTTGATGTTTAATAAATGCAAAACAATTTTTCTAATTATAAATTTTATGAGTAATTTAATCTTGGCAAAGCAGGAACTTTAGAGTTTTAATCTATTCCCGAAAGCCTGTAAATTGTAGCGAATCAAAACTATGTAAACTTTATTTACATAAAATTATTAAAAAGAATAAAAATTAAAAAAGCATAAGAATGAACTTTTATAATTTCTATTTCTTCTTTACGCAATGAAGAATTGGTCTGATATTGCTTAGAATTACTAAATTTTATTATTATTAACAACAATTAGATATATTATTAACAAAATAAAACAATGATAAAATCTGTGATGAAAGTAATGTTCTAACCCTCCATCTATACAACAAATATCTTAAATTTACAATATCACCGATCAAATAATGCCACGGCTAAAATTACCAGCTGAGACAACACGGCGTCATTCTCTTTATAAATTTCATCTATTAATCGTATATTAAAATTTATGAAAAAAATATATGGCAACTTATATACACTTACGGGTCGATTGACTTGCAACCCTCAACTCTACTTAGATCAGGATAACATCACATTACGTATAACTTTATTGAAATCCTATAGCAATAGTAACATTTTATAAAGTTTTCAATAATATACGACACGGCCAAATTGTTTTAGATACAATATCCGAACTTTCAAATTTTCACAATACAATATTTGCATAGTTATGCGTAAACACTGAATACACTATTATATTTATTATATTAATTTTAAAGGTTAAATATTTGTTGCGAGCACATTCATGACAGACCGAAGTAAAACTAAAACTAATAATTGGTCGCTTTTGTATTGTCGTTTTTATATTGGTCGATTTATCAATGATACGTTACATGAATTGGTCAATCCGAATATTTAAATGAAAAGAAAAAGTATAAATATTCGGACAAATGCGTTTTCGTGTAAATTAAAATATAAAAGCACAACGACGTTGAGAGGTACGATGCATCGACCGTTAAAGCGTTTACTGATGATAATTTCGCTGTGGCATTTATATATGATTGGGGCAGTAAATAATAAAATATACAAATAATATATCAATAAACTTGTGTGCTCTATTATCTGAATGAGAGCGACAGGACAATGATTAATATTATGAGTGTAACGACCAGACAGATAATAATGAAGATCTTTTTCTGTAACGAAAAATAATATCCATTATTAAAATTGTGAATGACAACAGCAAATATGATTGATTTGTTATGATATTTATCGTATTCCTTATTTTAAGTGAATTTATTAAATAAAACACTTTACGCACAGAATTATTTCAACTCTAAAACGTTATCACCACCACCTTTTTATTTACTTTCATTCAACATTCAACGACAAAATATTTTTTAAAAATTGAATCGCTGCCTTATTATTATTTATTGTACACAAAGTTAACAAAGACATTTTAAAGATATTTAAACAAGACTCCAAAAACACTAACTTGTTAACATCAATTTCAGTACAAAATTTTCAAAGTTGATATTTACGATTATTTTCATGAAAATTTACGTTAACTCAAAACACATTTACACTGACTAACATAAGTAGAATAAATGATTAATTTCAGTCAATTAAATTTAGCAAACGCTAACGTTAACAAAATAACAAAACATTTTATAACAAAAATGCCAGCTGAGTGTAGAGTATTTCAAATCAAAGATAAAACAGTTGAAAATTTAACCCCTAATCTGATTATTAGTATTTGCGGTACTATGTTAATTGCAAAATTAGAGTGCATTTGTTGAATTTCAAACAATTCGTTTTGTGATAATTTACATCGATATAATTACATAATGCACTTGATATAATTATATATTTACGGTAATTTATTATGTATTTAATTATTATATAATTATATATAGATTTATGATTCATTTTGAAATTAAGAAAATTGTATGTTGAGCTTAATTTATTTTAATTTTATATTAAATTATTTTATATTAAGCGTAGTTTATATACATTTTATATTATATTTTATATAATGCAATGTTAAATTCACTTCTGGCTTATATCAGATAAGCATCATTTTTTGATTCATCAACCGTTTCGCGTTCTTACAAACAAAGAGAACCTCAGGTTTACTCTTATGGGACTTGGATGAAACTTTGCCTATGAGAAGTGGTGTAATAATAAAAATTAATTAAACTTGCAAAAAATAGACCGCAAAAAATTACCCAAAACGTAAGCAAAACGAGTTTTATTAATAAATATCACGAATGTTTTAGTGTTTTCATATTTGATAAAAATGTTTCGCTAAAGTATCTGTTGCCATTAATGGTTAGCATAAAGCATGCAGCAAATTCATGTCTTTCAATATTTCTTAATTCTTTGTCAATACGAGAACTCATATTTAATTCTTTTATTAAGCAGTATTTGTGAAACAATTCAAATGACCCAATAATGCCAATTTTTACATATCATTTCGCTGTTTACCTTGCGTGCCTTAGTCTGGTATTCGTGCGCTGTGATCAGCTCGGCCCTAGCGCTCGTCACGTGTGCGCCCGACTGCGCGACGTGCGTCTCGACTCGATCCACGAGCTCGCCCTATTTCGTATGGCCGGGACGAGGATTTGGGATGGGAAACGTTCGAAATGGGTTCGAATCAAACGATTGGTTTTTTAACACCATATTAATTGAGCGATGTAGAAGAGATTATTATAATTATGACGAAGCCCACCACATTGAAAATAAGTTAAACAAAATTGTAAAATTGCAAGATAGATTTAGTGTATAGTATTGATGTTTAGTATTGCAGAGGTGAGCAATTTGAAAAAATCGAAATGTTATTAAGAAATTTGACAAATTGATTAAATATATGTACAATATTAAATATTAGTAAATAGAATTTTATTCGAAAAAAATCGAACACCGGAAATGGGTGATAAATATTTTTTTGATTTGACGGCATGCCAAGTATTAATACATTAGAAAATTTTTTGAAAATACCAGTGAGCCAATATATTATATTATTTAATTTATGTGTATATTATGTACAAAATAAGTAATACAGAAAGCAAATTAAAGGATAGACAGTTGAAGGATACACCAAGATAGGAGGCCACGTCGATTATAACCCAAACGACGAATGCCAAAATTACGTGTTCGTGCGTTGTTACGATTTGAATCGTTTAATATTTATCAATTTTATTATTTTATTAGTAAGTTATAATAAATTATATATACATATATATTTATATATTAACCAGTTTTAATAGCCGAATTAGAGAGCACGTGTCGTGCATATTCAATCGAGCAGTTAATTATTTTTTATAAATAGTAGAAAAATAAATAAATATAATATTAATAAAGAATATTAGACAAAGTCACACATGCATAAAACATACATTGAAAAATACAGCATTCAGTAATAGTCATAGAAAAAAGCAATCAAGAAGTAAAAGCATTGCATATAGGAAATGAAGGATAGGTCGTTTATATTATGGAATATATATGATAAGATATATATATATATATATATATATATATATATATATATATATAAGTTAGTTATTGTTAGTTCATGATCAGATTGTATAACATGAAGTATGTTTCGTGGATATAATGAACAAGTTTAGGAGTGGTGAGTGGAATGTCATTTAGGAGCAAGGAAATGGAACGGATAAAAAAAAACAAAAGCAATTAGTCAAAGATGACAAATAATATTCAGAAAATCTCACCCGGCGCGCTTTGGACTGATATTTAAGCGCCTTCTTCGTGTCCTGCGTCGCCGTCTGAACGTAGTCAACGGCGTGCTCCACGTGGTATTCAATACGATCTATCATCTCGCCCTACGATCGACCGGTCAGTGGACAATTCGTTTAATAAAATTCAGTAATAAACATGCAAAATAAACCTTATAAAAGAGCACAATTTAACTTATTGACTGTAGTAAAATGTTAAGTAAATGAAAATTTTCAAACTAAAAATAAATGTGTTGTGCTCTTTATATTAATGAATAAATTCACAAGTTATCTACAGGAAATTTTGCATTTCTAAAAAATCATTTAATAAAAATTAGTGTATGATAATATTGATTTCACTGAATGCAACTCATTTGTATTAAACGGCATAAGGTTTGTAAATATAAGTTCTTTTCATCAATGTTCTTGCAAAAATAAAGACACATGTAAAATAAAATATTTATCAAGTTGCTATCCCACAGAAAGAGGAAACTACTTCTCCTGAATCTATGAATGAATCGAACTTGTAAGTTCAAAAAAACGCGCCATATCTACAACCGTCGCTTTACGTGTCATAATTGTTGGGAGTATTATGCGACATAACATACCTGGCTTTCAACTAACATTGCCATATCCATGAACATGTCATGAAGTTCCCTAATTGAGTTTTCCAATTTGATAATATCCGCGTGCCTAGCTTCAATATCGGCTAATGTTTGCTTCGCTTGTTGGGTTTCCATAATGATCTACATATAATAAAATATTGTAGAATGATCAATGTGGCTCGATTTAGTAAAATTTATACAGATGAGATAAAAAATAATAAATTATTATTTTTACCCCTTGTGTAAATACTGCAGGATTTCCTTGTTCTAACATTTCTTCTAATTCCTCATTCGTTGTTGTTCTTCCAGCTGCAAATAGCATGTATTCATCATCATCAATATTCCAAAATATTACACACTTCTTACATAAAATGTTTGTAAGTTATAAAATTTCGTATTACTTTCATCTTTTTATATGAAAAAGTATAATTCTTACTGATTTCCAGTTGACGTTGTATCCGCCCTTTGCAACGCTCCCTGTAGTCCGTCTGCGTGCGGTTATATTCGGTCATTACTTCGACAAATTTACGGCTGAGAGTCGAATGCTGTGTTTTACGAATCCGGAGATCTGCATTAGATTTATTACCTTGCTCCTCCTGCTCGATATTCTGTTCTATCACTGTACATTGAAAAATAGTATCAAAATTAAAGAACAACATCGCTATTTATAATAAAGTATTGTGACTATATTAATAACAATTTTTATGGAAAATTTGTTAATATATTCGTAACATCACCGGAGTCACGAAAAATGATGCGAGTCAAAGTTAACAATTAAAGTGACCATACTGTCCCGTCCCGATTTGGCCGGGACAGTCCCAGATTTCCACCTTGTGTCCCGGGTTTTTCTAAAAGTTTTTTCCGGATTGTCCCGAAAAGAAATAGGTAAATTGACAAAAATTATGAAAACAAAGGAACAAATGCTAATTTTTCTCTAATTAATTATGAAGAAAATTTAATAGTATTTTATACAAGACTCAAAAGCGAAAAAAAAACATTTAGATCGAAAAATATAAGACATAATATAATATAAATAAAAAAGTATTACATATAATCGAATAATGAAGTTCTTACTAAAAGTCCGCAATTCTGATTAAAGACCTTGATTCAAATAAAAAAATAATTATTGTATCCTTAACACTTTGACTGCGGGAGTCGACAACGTGAACTGTCGACATCCTTTTCCTTCTTCCTGTCGACAGTTACAATAAAATTGAAACTATTTGGTCCTAGTTTGATTTATTAGTCACCTAAATAAAATACAACCTTTTACACTTTGATAATAAATAAAAATAGCTGTCGACATAGTGTCAATAACTCGCATCACGAGAGGATCACATATTCTGATGCGGTTGTCGAAAGAAAAAACTTAAAAATCGGTAAAATACTTCATAATACAAAACGTTTCAGCATAGGAAAACGGCATTGGTCCAAAGACCACCGCAGTCAAGATGTTAAAACATTTGATATTTTAAAGACACCCCCTCCCTTCCCGGGTTTGTATAACCAGAAATGAATTTATCGACATCGCAAGTTTCGTTCTGAATTTAATTATTTTTCACAGATTTTATTTGAACAAAATTTTGTCAAGTTCCGTTAAAATAATATTTTCTTATTAGGAACTGTACTTTAAGAGTTTATATGATGTTTCTTATACGATTTACGCTATAATTAATTATGACTGAGACATTAAATTAGTTCGATTGTTTCACACTTGCGTTCAAACTTCCTAAGTACCAGATTTCTGAACTCCACTTGAATAAGAGGAGTTAACGTATTGTGGCTGTAATACCATGATATTGAAACAGGTAGACGGATATGTAACTACATACGGATAAAATCATACTGTAATGGAATTATCTTTAAGTAAGAAAGCAACTTGTGTTTAACCAGAATGAACAATTGTAAGAGGAAATATCATTAGCATCATTTTCCCCTAAATATAAAATACTTTCTATTTAAAAAAAATCAATCATAAGAGCAATAATTAACTTAAAAATTTAATTCAAATCATCACAAATTTGATACTAACTACAAAATTTAGGTTTTCATTACATTCTTCGTTATTATTATTATACAAAAACCATAGTACCTATAAGAAGTTTTTTTTTAAGTAAATACTAAATAAATAATAACCATTTTTGAAATCAACTAAATATATAAATTGACCATAGTGAAATTGTGTAAAAGTTTTGATGTGAATTGATAAAACAGCCAATGTGTCGAATAAAGAAATATTTATTTTAAATTTTTGTACGTTTCGAGACTAGAATAAATATTTCTTCATTCCACGCATTGGCTGTTTTATAAATTCAATATGTTTCAACGTCGAACAAAAAAGCTTCAATGTATATATATATATATATATATATATATATATATATATGTGTGTGTGTGTGTGTGTGTAATTATTTCATTAAAAGGCAGCAGATTACGGTAAACTTTATGATGGATGCTGAAGTTATCGGAAACTATCGGAGTAGTTTGCAGCAGCCAGATAAGATCTCTTCTATAAGTCTAACACAAACTTCGAAATAAAATCATTTTCTTACTAAACTCTGCATAAATTCAAAGGCTAACGACGAAAATAACAAAAGTAATATCTACAAAGTATATCATATACAGCTAATATTTCTATAAACACTGGTAAAATTCGTAAATAGCTATGTGCAAACTGTCATATAATGGTAATTTTAAGCAAAAAATTTCATTTGTACGGAGTTGAATTTTTAGTGATATAAAGTAGTTGATAATCGGCTTTTGCAATGTTTGTGGAATATTCATGCGCTCTGTACAAGCAGATTATACAATAAAGACCATACAATGCGTAAAAATTATATAAAAATCGCTTTATAAAAACGGATTTAAATGCATTTTAATAGTTCACGAATTTCCGAATAAAGCAAGGACATTTATATAAATGAGGAGTATGATGTATATTCAAAAATATTAAATATTCGAAGAATTTAAATAAATCAAAATAACCGCCTTTGCCACCAACAGGCAATTGTCCTGATTTCGATTAAAAAATATATAGCTGTCCCACATAACACAATACGCTATATTAATTGTATTTTTTTAAATAAACAGTAAAAAAAAACAACTCACCTTTAAGTTTTGCTCGGACTCTGTTAGCTGATTTTTTTATATCCGCCATCAAATCCTCTAATTCCTGTTTTACCTCTGAAAGCAGACAAATTATACCCAATAAATCACAAAATATAAACATTATTATCTATATAAAATACGAGCGGTGTTGTCTGATGCACAAGGAATGTAATGTGCCTTTTATGTGCATTGTGATAAAATCTCTATATATAAAATGGTGTGAAAAGGTTTATTTTAGTGAAAATTATACGATAATGGTAAAAATAATAAACTCTATAACTTGCTAAAAAAAATCGATTACGTTATTTCATTTTTACACGCATTTCTGACAGCATCGTAAATAACCTAATCTCTGAATTTGCATTCTGTAAAAATAATATTGAAGTTAAATTAATTTTTTTATATTTACTACGAAAAAGATCGTATTATAAAGGTTTAAATTGATAAAGTTTCAGCGTGAGAAAAATGCGGTAGAATTGTTTTAGAGGTTCATTTTCACTTATGAAATTATTTGACTTATAATATTATTTAAGATTTATTACTAAGTAGTACCTAATCAATTCAATAAATATATATGACTAAATCCTCAAAAATAAAAAAAAACAATGTAAAACAAAACACATGATAAATCAAATAATATGATAGATTACCTTTCATACTATAATATTATAGTATACTATTACGTATCTTAGACAATCTAACCTTTATCTATCATACCATAAATTCCTATCCTTACAAATCTATTATCACTAGATTAATTTCCCGAAGAAGTTAATCAAAATGTTCGAATGTTTTTATCAAAAAATCCGACTCGCCAATTTTGTTTTCTCGACGTTTCAAGACATTCTGAATCGAATGGGACCAAATTTGAAAAAACTATGTGTGAACAGATTTTTTACCGTGACTCGACGTTTTTTTCAAAAACGGCTGGACCGATTTCAAAATTTTAAAAGCCATTCGATGTATCTCGATGAGAAAAAATCTTGATTGTCAGTTTTGCGCTACTATCGGCCGAGCGGTTTCTTAGTAAATAGCAGAAAAGTGAAAAAAAATTCGTTCACGTTTTAACCCGAAAATTCTAAATCGATCTTAAAAATTCAAGAAACATTCGAAACATATTGGTTGGGAATCGTTCTGATTAGTTTTTGGTTAAGATTCGCTGGCACAATTTCTTGTAATTAATTGCCGATAATTTTTTTTTCGACGATTTTCAACATTTTTTTTGGCAATAGATATCATAGTCTTCTAGATTATAATAAAATATTACGGCCCCACGACAAGTCGTTTAATTTTAAAATTTCGTCAAAGTCTAATTTTAATTTTAAAAATTCGTCAAAGTTTGAAAAAATTAGTCGCGTTTTTTTGCCATTTGCCTAAATTAGACCTTTCATCTACGTTTGCTCAAAAACGCCTGAACCGATTTCAAAAAGTTAAAAGCCATTCAATGTATCTCGATAAGTATTATCGTCTCTCAGTTTTAAGCGACGATCGGCCGAGTCGTTTCTTTGTAATTTGAAAAAAGTGTAAAACTTTTCGTCCACGTTTTAGCTCACAATCCTAAATCGGTTTTAAAAATCGAAAATTGTTCGAAAGATATTGATTAGGAATGATACTGATTTGTTTTAGGTATAGATCGACTGAGCCGTTTTCTTGTAATAATTTTTTGTCGATTGTTATGAAACTTTTTTTGACTGTAGATATCAGGTCATTTATGTGCCATAGTACATACAAATGACCCTAATAAAATATTACGGCCCTACGACAAGTCGTTCAATTTAAAAATTCATCTAAATTTGAAAAAATTATAGAAGCTTTTATTTAACGTTAGTTAAAATTAGACATTTTACTTGGTATGGCGATATAGTATCTGGTCTTAATAATATTACTAAACCATTATAATCATACGGTAACTAGTACAATTATAAAAATTTATTGAATTTTGAACATTTTCTTTTAGAAAATACTCCGAGTTGTATTAGAAAAGTGTTCGATTTTCATTCGACTTCATAAATTCGGAATAATTCATAAATTAATTTATTTATTATTGATTAAGTCGATTGTTCACACATATCAGGAAGTTCTTGTAACTTGCCTTAAGGCGAAATACCACTTACAACTAGATTGCTTGTTAACTTATGTATGAATAACATACACCCTACATACCCTTTTTACTAGTTGTAAACCTCACATCTTACTTACACGCTATATATTTACGTCCTATTATCTGTACCTATCTATCTATTCTCTATCTATATTGTCTATACCGGGGATTATCCACTACTCCATTATTTTTCACAATAATTTTCTTTTCACCATCAGTGTGTCTGTAGGATAAAACTTATTTCCATGTGGAATTAATATATGATTATTTTCTAAAAAAATCATATTCTCCAATTTCTGAAAACTTATCGCTAATATTATTAATATCTTCTAAAAACTTTTTCGGTCTTGTTTGCTTCGACATTTTACTGGGTAAAGTGCTAATTTCCAAAAAAAAATCAGTTTTTGCTACATTTTTAAACATGAAACAGTTTCGTTCTTGGAACGGGCGCTGTAGGGCATCAAGTATGCATAATATGAGGACCGCCAACTCTCTTCAAATTATAATATAAAAGAATGCTCTCTTGGCCAAAGTGCCCCATCGTGGTAAACAATGAGTATACAGGCATTACTCAAAATAAACAAAACAAAAAATAACATACTATATTGATTATAAATTAATTTGTATGAAAAAGCCATGAAAGGCCGGACATACAATAAACAATAATTGTATCTATAAATTATGGTATGTTTAGTAAGTATTAAATATTTATGTATCAATTGATAGATAATACATGTTTCCAAAAAAACGTGCATTAAATGTATTTTACTACTGCTTCATTTATTTATAAAATTAGTCCTATTATTAAATTCGGTTTTACAAAAAAACTTTAGAAAGTAGAGAAATAACTTACTTTCATCTGACTGTGGAGCGGAAAGGATTGCACTGTGCTTTTTCTTTACTTCTTCAACATTGGCTTGGATTTTGTCAATCATCTCCCGAATCTCTTCAACCTATTTAAAACAAACAATGCATAGAATCAGATAAATAATTCAGTATTAATAAAGCATTTCTATTAACTATATATAATATATCAAATTTTCAAAAGGTAATAATTTCTTTTCGTTCGTATCAAACATCCAAACAAACAAATAGTTATCATTGTTTCACTAAATTGACTGTCTTTCGAATTGTCTTTTATAGAAGATGGTATTACATCGTTGTATCATCTGTATTGTATTTACATGAAATAATAGATGAAGCATCGGTCTAAAAATATACCGATGTGGATATAGCATTATTTCTGCTAAGAGAAATAATAGAATTGATGCTAACTCAATATTTGAATACGCTATTACTGGGTGAGTCAATAAAGGTAGAGACATCGTGATATAAGGAATATGTATTTATTGAATTTATATGGATATGAATTTCATTGCTCAAGACTGAAGAATGTGCATGTTATTGTAATATACAAACATCTAAGTCAATTTAAGTTTAGAAATATTTGATTTGTCATGTACTAAAAATTTAACCCTCTATGGGCCCGTGTAACTATCAGCCCACTTTTCAATTTATCGATATTTTCTCAAATATTTATGACTTTTTTCGCCAGATAATACTTTAATCTTAATTTTATAACCTTTTCAAGACAACCAATGTCAATATATAAGATTTATACGTTTGATACCCAAAAGATAAATACAAAATCACATACAAAAGATAGAGGAATCACATTTAGACACATTAGCGGTAATAAGTTTGATAATTCCTTGTTGGTTTTTCAATCCAATGAAGATTTAATAGTATATCCCCAACGACGAATAAATATTATCGATAGAGAGAAAATGGAAAAAGGGCATTCAATTTCAAATGAGGTACATAAACAATTTCAAAATAAAAAACAGCTAAATACAACGTTACCTGTAAAGTTGTAAGAAAAGACGATGCAAAAAGCCCGGATGTAAAGGAGTTTTGAAATTTAAAATCTCTAAATGCAATGTTCATTTATGTTTGATACCAATTGTGAACTGTTTTACGAAATAAATTTCAATTCACACACAGAACATTATAGGCCGCTGTGAATTGAAAGTTACATAGTTAATACAATTAAATTGTTTAAACTTTTTTTTATTTTATTTGTATATATAGGTACTGAATTTTTGCACCTTTAATTTTTTGGATTGAAAACAAAAATTAGACCCATAGAGGGTTAACTTAATTATAAAATAAATGTACCACATAGGCTTTAAAAACCACATTAAAAAACAGTAATTGAATTCGCTCAATGAGATTTTCCTATTTAAATCATAGGATATGTATTTTGAAAAATAAATTAACTACAACTGCGAAACTATTGCTCAAAATATATTTTCATTTTGCAAAGTCCTCATGTAAATATGGCCTTCTCTCCTCTATTATTGACAAATTCTTTAAACTACATGTAAGTTATCTACTACAAATAAATTTTAGATTATGCACATTTTCGATTTATCTATCTACGACAGATAGGGAATTTTTTTCAAATTTATGAATAATATTTATACTATAAAAATAAAGAATTAATAGATCTGAAGTGTTTAAGAAATAAAGTAAGGTCTCGATCCATGTTTTGTCAATTCTCAAATATTAAAAAATATTTCTTACGCATAATTTGTAAAAACTATCAACATACGAGTGCTACATTATTTCGCTATCTTCAGTAAATTGTAAGAACTCGTCATAAAATCTAGCAAGCACTCTAATTAAAATGGTTTTTCGAATTAAAATGAATGGAAACAGACGATATTGAACAAAAAAACAATAAAATACTCGGTATTTTCTATATAGTCATATGATTTTTTTTGTCTTGCAGCAATACATTATTAATAAATAACCAAATTTCGAAGAAATAATTGATTGTGACATTTAGTTTTTTCTGTTGTCAGAACATTTCTTTGCTATTCAATATTTGATTTACTTGAACTTTAATCTTAACCACTTCGGTACGAGCGACACGTATACTTGACGGCCGCAGAATGCACAACACAGCCGTGTCAGGTTTAGTGGACGGCTGTAATATGAACGCTCAGAGCACGGGCGTTACATGCCGGCTGTGAGCGACTTTACGCGGCCAATATGCGCCGTACCGAAGTGGTTGTAACTACATATTGAATTATGTTACAAGTATAAATAACGAATTAAAGTATTGCTTACATCGTTGAAGAACTCTTCCATGAATCCGTCTCGACCATCCACATTGACTGCCACATCTTCTGGCCCCACATCATCATCATCGCTTTGAGCCTGTAAATAAAAAATAAAATAATTAAAAAAATGATAAGCAAATAGAACATATATAATATTTCAGAAAATGATAATAACTTTGACAAATTACTGTTCATTTTACCGCCACTCACCCTCGCGGATCTTTCAGAAAAATACGTATGTTCCCTTTTCTATAAAACCATATTTTGAAAATTTATATTATATCTAAGTTATATGAATATTTCCTCCGCCATTACTATTACTCTATTTATTCATAATTATTTATTTATACTTTCTTTTTAATGTCACATATTTTACACCCTTTCAAACTCTGACACAAACACAATATCATCAACTGTTTCATAAATATTGTAAATTTTTCATTATCAGTTACTACAAGTTTTTTACTAGTTGCACAAAAAATTGAGATAAATTTTAAAACAATCCTGAATTTAAAACATTCTTATGAATCCTTTAAATATGAAACATCGACCAAGTAAATTCATTTTGATAACTATCATTATTAATGCATATAATACATAAATACTAATAAATGTAGTATTACATTAAAATTAGATCATCATTTGCTGTCAAATTAGTAAGTCTACTCGGTGACTAAACTTATTTCGAAAAGTCGTTTGATAAGGTACATGGTGATACGGCCAACTAAACAATTACGTTTTTACGGTCCGTTTATTGTCCTTGTTTGAGGCATAATAATTTGGTTGAATACAGAAACGTAGTACGATGTATCGTTAAATTAGATACCAATTTCAGAAGGCTGGATATAAATACAAACTTCGGAAAATTTGTGGATTCTGTTTTCAAAACAGAATACATTATTTACGTTTATCCCAGGTATTATTATTACAAGCACCAAAATCATGAATTATTATTTCGAATAAAAAATTAACGTTTTAGAAGTTAAGAAATCAGTATAAAAAGTGTATCCCAGACCTTGACGTCAAGTGGAGACGGGAGGATAGTATGGACCTTAAATGTCCTGAAAATTTTAAGAGCAACTTAGAGCATAGTAAAATTTTGTACATTTTTTAGTTATAGTAGTTAACTTTATAATTAACTTATTAATTTTGTTCTTTAAACTTTGGAACCATAACCGTGAATGAAGTTTCTAAGACCACATTAAAAAAATACCACAATTGCACCAAGTTTTCAATTCAACTCAATTTAAAATTTTTAAAATCGGTCGACTTTGAGAAAAAAAATATCTCGCGTTATTTGGAAATTATGAGCTTTTAAATGCAACTTAGAGCTTTGTTGAAATTTTGTCTATATTTTGGTTATTGTGGTTAAATTAAATGTTTAAATGGTTAAATTATTGTGGTTAAAAAATGTACTAAAGTGTGTTCGCAAGTTTCATCAAAAGTTGACGCATTTAATCAGGATTGTAAAACGGTAAAATACTTAATAATATTATTATTATTAATTTTTATTATTATTTTCCTAAAAATGGTCCAATAATTGCTAACGTCCTCAAATTCTTTTGCTCCGCATAAGCTCTTTCGAATTTCAATTTTACTTTAAAATTATGAGAGATGGATGATGGACATATTTTTTATGACAAAGCGAAGCATATGCTGAAGTAAAATTAATGAAATAATGAATAACTTTGACCTAGTTATTATTATTATGTTTATTAGAATAAAAGTCAAATAAGGCTGAAATAAAATAGCCATCAATCCCTTTACACATCGCTTTATGCGTAACAGCGGTAAAATATTTCAATATCTTTTACATTTATTAAATAAATCTGAATGAGAAAAAATATTAAAAAGCCACCGATGTATTAACATGAAGTTGACTTGATCACTTTTGGCACAAGACAACATACAAAATACTAAGTGAACCGCACAAACCGCAGACTCTGTGCCGCAAATATAGTTTGAAATTGGTTTAAATTGATATTGATATAGTCAAACTTAGAAATAGATTGTTAAACTGTTGGCAAGTTGATAACTGTTACTCTACCACACAATAATTGGAGCGTAGACGCTAAAAAGCAATTATAATTTTTATATCTTACGCTATGAGTGATATTAATTCAATATTATATTAATATTTACGTTAGGTCATTGGAATTATATTACACCACAATAACCATTAAATACATCTATAGCTCTTTCGATAGGTTCGTAAAATGCCGGCAATTTTAAGACTTCTCATATTGAATCTTCTCTCATAAATTTCGTAGCTCAAGGCTAATACAGTAGTATATTTTGAACGTTTGATGTGCTTTAAGTACATTTAGATAATAGGGAATAACGAACCAGGAGCAAGTGGCATTTTGCCATAGGCACGTTCCATGGACTTAAAGAAATGTATAAAAAATAATATCTTATAATAACGATCTTCCGTAAGAAATTCAGCTACTCGATGACTTCTTCCAATCTTCCAAACAGTACTGGAATTTTTAAAATCGGTTCAGGACTTGTAGCTAAAACACTGTCGGTAAAAGAAACGGCTTGACCGAAGAATCGTAGTATAAGACCAATCAACCGATCGAGATCGAATAGCCTTTGTATCTTTGAAAACGGTGCTATCGTTTTTTGAGAAAACGTCGAAAAAGGGTCAAAAGTCGGCTCACATAGACGCTTTCTTCTGAATATGGTCTTAAACTAATCAGAATGATTTGATACGTCGATAAAACTTACAATTATAAAGCCGGATTTCCTGACTATTTTGTTATTTAAATTAAATTTTAATTCTACTGAATGAAGACTATCACTACAACTAAAACATAGTTTAAAGTATTTGGATTTAGGATGATTTTTTAAAGAAATTGATGATTTTTATTGATGTTATGTCAGATTCGTCCGAGTCCGTTATGTTAGATTCTTAATACATATGTCAACATCAAATTCAGAATTACACAATATATATATATATATATATATATATATATATATATATATATATATGAGCAATAAATTAATAATATAAACAATACTATATAAAATACATCTATAGTAAATGTATAAAAGTCTCAATAAATAAGCAAACATTTTTAAACTAGTCAAATCTAATGGTCAAACCTAAACTGTAAAGAAAATTTTCTTTTTCAGAAAAGAATATTATAATTTGCCGCTTGTGAATCGAAAAATAGCTTTACAAACGCAAATCAGTGGCATGGAACAAGTAACATATGACAAATGCTGAACGAAAATGACAAAAGGCTGTATTATGAAAAACAAGTACATAGTAAAAAGTCTGAAAAATAAATCTGTCAATCTCTCAATCAATTTTGCTTGAAAAAAAAACTACTAAAGGTAAATCCCATTTTAAAATAGATAATAAATTAAGAATCATAATATGATTAACATATTATCTATAAAGATCAATTAAATACATTAAGAATAAATGAAATCCCTAAAGTAAATTTCAAAATAATTTATGAGAACCAATAATCATTTATATAAATGTTTCGTAGATACAATTTTATTCAGAACCTAAGAATTCTTATAAATCAATCCAGCATTTCTGAGAATACATGGCAATAAAAATGTTGGTTTGCGCGCGAGATTGACACAATTTTCCGAAGGAAAAATGTGTGACGTGGAATATTCTAAAAATGCTATGAACCTAAAACTAAATATATAACTCAGAAAATACCTTATAAAAAATACAAGAAGGAATATAAAAATAAATACTAATAAGTATCAAACAAAAAAGTAAAGAAAGTAAGCTCAAACTAATTAATTTGTTATATGTTGCTATACTCGATTTTCAAAATCTCTGACAATGATCAGAAGATTTGGTATTTTTAAAGTCATTGTTTTTAATCCTACAGTTATACTTGTTGTTAGAACAGATGTAAAATTACTATATAATAATAATTTATGTTGCTATATGAAAAGATCCTTGTCACTTTGGGGGCGTCCATTAATCACATAATCGATTTTTAAAGATTTTTGGACACCTCCTCCCCGTTGTTGATACGTGGTGATATTTAAAAATACCCCATGTTTCACATTTAACATCACGTGTATTTTTTGTACGAAAAGAAGTTAAATTTTTGAAATTTATTTGAATAATTTGGAATTTTTAATTTAGATAAAAAATAAATACACGTGATATCTTACTACATCCCATCTCCGCAAAATAGTAATCGCAAAAAAAAACGAAAATGAATTTTTTTTTATATCTTTACGTTTCAAAACCTTCTGAACATTTTGGCATACCTTAAAAAAATGAATGTATGTGTGTGTGGGTGTGTGTGTGTGGGTGTGTGTGTATGTGTGTGTGTGTGCGTGTATGATTGTGTATTCGGATACAAATTTTCGTCGACGATTTCGGGAACACGGATGAAGCGATTTGAATAATTCAAAAAACATTCGATTCGTATTGATAAGGAGACGTGCTGATTAGTTTTTGGCGAAGGCAGGTATAGCCGTTCCGAAGATATGGGGCAAAAAGTGCCAAAAACGGTAACTCAGTTTTTAAGAGAACGGAGCGTCTGATTTGAATAATTCAAAAAACATTTTACTTGTATTAACAAGATGAAGAACTGATCAAATTTGAAAGCAGGTCTAGCGGTTTCGGAGATCTAGTAAAAAAAGTAAAAAAATGCCATTTGCAGGTCAAATATGATCATTAGACATATGCACATCAAATTATCAGATATTTTATAGAGATTTTAACAATAAGTATAAATTTTGTTTACATTCCTATGAGTTCCGTACCAATGTTTATCCATTAGTTAGTTAGTAATATTTCAAAATATTTTTTTTTCAAAAAAAAATTTCAAAAATTTAAAGTTTCTCAAAAATCTAAGTTTTTCGGAGTCAATTTTTTTCAGAAATTGTTAATCTTTTTAAAAAAACATAATTTTTGGTACGCTCTCATATACTATAATCCGTCCCGGATTTCATGCAAAAAATATGGTCACCTTAATTAATAGACGCCCTTTAGAAAACCATAGTTTAATAATAGAAAAAAATTAAGATGATTTAAAACAATAAAAATAAATAAGATTCGATTTGTTCATAAAAAGTAATCAAATGAAGATTGAACATAATATA